TAGTCAAAATACTTTCAGTCAACATTCTTATTATTTAGCTTGTTCATATATTAATACTAAGGGTGTCCTTTTACTGTCTGTGAGAGAAATGCTAATAAAATTGAATTTGTTGTTACTGCTGAGCATGAGCACTGTGTCGAGAAATGCCAGTCTCAGATATCTTCATATAATGTGCACCCTGCTTCTAAGGACTCCAAAAGATATACGGCCCCATTGTTCTGTGGTCTGGAATTGGGTGGCAGGAAACACTACCGCTTTTGAAAATGGCCTCAGAACAAAAGCCTTCAAGTGATTGTGTCGAAAACATTTTGGTGATGGTAATTGTTATCCTAAGACTTGATCAGTAGGTTTATTGAATAATGTTTACTTCTGAAGCGTGCACTTGGGATGACTTACTTTCCAAAAAACCTCTCTTCATTATCCTCAAAGGCGGTGCACAGGACATCGGCACTTGGTCTCTCTATTGGAGGGAGAGCTGGGCTCTCATCTCTGTGTTTCAGGAAACACTCATTTCTCTCTGGCTCTTGTTTCTCACAACAGTCAGCCAATTCACCGTACGTGTCACGCAGAGATGCAATTGTACATAATTTATCTCCAAAAAGAGTATGCTACAAGAAAAATAAATAAAATAAATACATAAGGCAGTACTTTAGCTGCTTTATATCCAAAACAAGGTATAAAACCCTTAATACAATAGAGAAAGCTTTGTTAGGAAATCATAAAACAAGCCACACCATCCCCCTGCCCAACCGAGAGAGTTCCCTTTGCTTGAACTGTGCACATGTCATGTTCAGAAGAGTCAACTGTCACGCTGCGACTTGGAGGGAATAAAACATCAGGACAAAAGGCTGGTCAGTGCCTTTAAGGAGTGTGACTTTACATCGAATCCCAGCTAAGGCACACGTCTCAGCGATCATCCAAAGAAGCATCCAGGAATGCAAACTTCTAAGTAGCGGGTGACTTCATAGGAGAGAGAAAGCTGCTCAGATAGCCTCACGTTGGCCTGCTCCTTTTTCAGACATTCAGTTACTTAATAGATGTGATTCAAAACTGAGGGACCCTGGGGGTGCCCTGGGAAGGCACGCGGCTGCTCTGCTAACAGGTGAGAGGCTCAAATGTCCCAGGAGCTCAGTGGGGAAAAGTAGCTGGCTGCTGACAGCAAGATCCCAACCTGGGAAACCCTCGGAAGCAGGTCTAGTCTGTCCTTCAGGCCACCGTACATCAGAGTCAACTCAGCAGCAGTGGATTTGATTTGGGATTGTTCAAATTTGGACAGTAGCACAATCTACTATCTATCAATTAAGTTCTTGGATTGAGATATGTGTTTTATTTATTCTAGATATGTTTGATTTAGAGCCTATTTCATTAAATTAATTATTTGTTCCCTCAGCAAGTTGTATTAGTTAAGTACTTGCAACCCCAGAAAAAATACACTCTTCTAGAGAATATTCATTAATTTCATTTTTTAAATTCGTGGTTACACCAGGACAGTATGGCATTTTAGAGGAGCTTCTTCTTTGGGGAAGAGATAGAGAAACAAGGGAAGGGAAAATTCAAATATTCATTAAGAAATGGTCCGAGGTACGTATGCATAAATTGAGTGATGAGAAAAACATAAATCTCTCCTCGGACTGAAGAACTATTTGGAAATATCAGAAGTTCAACGTTTTCAAAATGATGAGAACCTTGTTTTTTGACTGTGTGTAAAGCTATGAACATGCTTGAACCAAGGAATATATATTTACACTATTAATTTATAAGTAACAAAATTAGCACAGATGTCAGTGGAGTTCTTTCTCAAGATAAAAGCCACATAGATTGCTATTACTGTAAGCCTCTATGAAAAGACACCAATATTAATTTTTT